CACACAGACAACCCCGTGACAATATGCGTTTTGTACTGATGTTACACAGCACAAAACGCATAAAAAAATTACAAACATTAGTAACACTACCATATCGACGAATTTCTTCTGACCCATATGACCACGGTACAAATCGGCGAGGTATTTTACAGTGACATTTCGCATACGCTGCATATTCTGAGCCACAGTCTTCGCTTCTTCTGTCACATCATACACTTTATAGGCATCCTAAACAAGTTTTTTCGATCAACTGTCGTTTCATCGTAGTGCCGAATTTCTGGCGATGTTAACAGCTTTTCCTTGTTTGTTGAGATCCGCAACGCTGCACCAACTTTTCTTGCTTTATAGTGAAAAAAGATTTCCAGACAAAAGTACCTTATTCTTGGTTTGCTGGACACAAACATCACAGGGTGAGGTACCGGTGCGACAAGCTTCCGCATCGTAAACCTGAAAGAAATACCACAATATAAGAGCACGGATAACTGCCGTGGGTCCTTTACTGAATCAATACCTCAAAATTACCTCGCCGAAATGCTCAACGAGTAGTTTCCGGCGGCAAATTGAGACGTTTTCACAGTAGGCCACAATTTGGAGCACATTGCTCAGGTGCATTGCTCGAACACCTTGTGTACTGTTCTCGCCTAAAACCTTAAAATGTTACTCCGTTAAAAATGATAAGCATAGTTTTGTGTCCAAATATATGTATGTGCTCTTTGTGGAAATTCATAATACAGGGGCAAAACACATGGCTCCCATTAAATACGGCACAGGTTGAGATTTGGCGATTTAATGATAAGGCATAAAATCATGCTGTGAACTGCAGCTGATTAAGGCATATAAGATTGACTGCAGAGTTTAGAAAGGTTGTACAGCCGAAGATTATGTTCTAAAAATTCCAGTATGATTGCAAAAACTGAAAATACGTAGTAGACAAACGAATAATGTGTGCATGCACAGCCAAAATTTCGTTGATGTAAATTTTTGGAATTTGCATAAATACGAAAAAAAAAAAACCTGAGAAATAAGTGTTACGATATAAAATAGAAGTGGCTTGAAGTCACTTTTGAAATTCTACCTCTGTATACTTAACTAAACAGCGTCATAACTCAATCGCTTACTGTTACTAAGTACTCTAAGTAGGTAAGTCACTATGTATTCAGGCTGTTTAAATTTTACCAAAACTTAACTGTACTAGACATTTCCTATACATTTGCCAATATTCTATAGCAGTGATGGAGGGAATTTCTTCAAAATTTTGTAGCTAATGGCAGTTATTTTAAATATAAATTTAAAAAGACAACAATCCACAGTATCCGTTGAGAGGTTGCTGCTTTTCTTTTACATTTAGGAAAGATCAAAAAAATTATGCAAGATCTAACTAAGGGGGTGCAAATGTGGCCAAAGCGGATACCAAAATCAGCTAAAAAGTGCCGGGTCGTACTGAAAAACCAAAAACAAGTTAAAAAAGGGAAAAGAAGGGTCGATGAAGATCAAATTTGTCAAATTTGAAATGAAATTTTCTTCGTTAGCTCTGACAGTTGTAATTTAACAGACACAAAACACAGCTTATGCAGGATGACAGTAAATTCCTCAACGACACAGATAGCTAGCGGAAATGTAGAAGTAGCAAATTAAAGGGAATAAATAAAAAGTCCCAATGAATCCCGATAGGAGTAGCTCATCAACGTAGAAGCCCTATTACGTGGGCAAATAAAGAAGCCAACGAGCATAGCTACCCGAAAGTTCGAATTAAAATTTTGTAAGAAAAATTTAAACCTTCAATCATTTTCCTGATGCGCACTGAGTCATTGTAACTGTACAGGATGGCGCAGTACGAAGTCAAACCATCACGTCCGGCTCGGCCCGTTTCCTGATAGTATCCCTCGATTGATTTCGGCATGCTAACAACAATAAAAAATAATTTTGTTAGCAAAAATCACGAAATTAGTCCAAAAAAAAAAAGAAATTCAAACGCAGTTGCTGACCTGAAATGGATAACGAATCGTACATCTGGTTTATCGATTCCCATTCCAAACGCTAAAAAAGTAACAGGAATCGATGACACTAATAAAAACAATGATTGCAATTTTCAATTCTTTTTGTTGCAGAAACAAGAATAGTGAAGGAAATCAGGAAACCGGATTTCAAAATTAGATTCTCCCCTGTTTTCAGAATTTGAAAAAATTACTATGTCATACCAATGGTTGCACAAATTACGTCCACCTTGTTGTTAATCCATTTCGATTGCACCTCAACACGTTTCTTGTCAGTTAAGCCGGCATGGTAAACTTCGGATGAGATGTCCTGATTCTGCAGCATTTTTGAAACCATTTCGCAATCCTTCCTGCACCGAAAGCAACCAAGTACAGTAAAAGATCAGGATATCCAGGATCCCAATGCGCAAAATTTATTAAAATCAAAAATTCATGCAGTGATACGATAATCATGAATTTCACCTTGACAAGCAGTAGATAATGCCTGATTTGCCTGGATACAGAGTCTTCATGCGATCCATCACTCTTACCAGCGAGCGCGGCCCTTTCGCAATAACGTCATATTTCAGGTTAATTCTTACAAAACTACTGATGAATCTGCAAATACCAACAGGGCATTTAAGTGACTTAAAAATTATTGCATAATTTTGATGAATACTCTTGCGATGATGTCCTGTGCGCCTGACAAAACTGCATCGAAATTGCTTCAACAAAGCTGCAGTAAGCAGAGAATCATCATCGTTAAAATGTTATCAGAATGATAAGCAAGATAAGCATTTGATAATTCGATTTCGGTCATACTAAGCACTAATCGTGGATTTTAGTTGCATCGA